ACTGATGGGAAGCATTTCATGGCTTCTTTTAGGATTTGAAGAACTTCCAGCATCACTACTTTTGAACTTTGGGGCCATTATTAAGCATAATTAATTATTATTATAATCAAAAAGAAGCGCTAAGCCACAAGGACTATACAGCTAAGCATAATTAAGAGGTTATTTTTGGACCACAGTAAATTGTGGGTAACTGAAGCCACAGATACCAAATCCGTGGATATGGAGGCTCTGCTGTATTTGCTCAATGATGTTTACAATCACACACACAGTGTGACTTTGTCAATGGTCCAAGTCGGACCGAAACGTCGTCGTAAGCTTCTGTCTTTTATGTGCGGGTTATTTGTGTATCGTTCCAGTCACGGTATTGTGCCTTTTTGTTATTTATGTTTACAATCAGTTTCAATCATCTACAACTTTGTCATACCGGTGCTTTCCTACATCCTTTTAAAAGTGAAATTATCGAATTTGAATCTTGTTTCTCAGGTTCTGTTTTGGGTATGTGCGTTTATCACCTTATTTGTAATGTATTTATTCTTATATTCTTTACACAGTATAATTCTGCATGTTAGAGCTAAAATTTTGGAACCCTCAAATGCTGTGATGGCCAGCCATTATAATAGTGTATATGTATGGTAAAAGTACACTATTTACAGACAAAACCTATGTTTCAGAGACATTTTTGCCAACACTGGGATTTTATGAAGCCAATCCATAGCACATGCAGTATGACAGTATATAAAAATAGAAGGTGAGGTAAAGATGGGAATACTCAGATAATGAATGATGGAGGGATAATGTCAGGTAGCTGGATCGCCTGCACATTGTGTTTTGCATGGAGTTTAGCTAGAGGTAATAGTAATACCCCATGGTTCTGTTATTGGTGGTTTAAATAGACACATTCTTTAAAACCACTTTGTCAGTATCAATCACTAAGGCTTACATCATTCTGTTAATGATGGTGTGTGTCTGCATGTGTGTAGGTTTGAAACACCATTTTCTTATCCTATTTTCCTTTTGATATTCATTATAGCCTTTGTCCAGCCTATTAGATATGTAAACAAGACACACATGTAACACTATATTTTATTAGGAAATGACACATTCACAGGGAGCAAATCATTTCCTAATAAATGTTCATGCATCTTATTTACATACTTTTGGCATACTTACACTAGGTTCCTGTATACATTATATGTGTCTGTTTTATCCTATGATGCAAGCATTATTCTTCTTATGTGTCTTGCAGGCATATTTATGCTCAAGGATTTTTGTGTAAAGTTTTCGTGGAGCTTCGCAAGTGTGTTACACACACCACAAGGAATTCTGTGATGTGTATCAGTATTGGCATGACTAGATTGTGAGTGTAGTAATACATATTCCATAGTTTTAGAATTGACACCTACACTGATAATGACTCTTGTGAAGGGTATTGAATGTTGGGTGAGCCATATTACCAGCTCAAAAGAGTTGATACTTCTTTGTGATGCTGGAATTTATTGTCTGCCTCATTGACATTTGAGGATGAAATAGGAAGGAAATTTTAATTTCATGAAGGAATTGGAGATTGTACTACATTCTATGTTAAAAAAATTTGAGACTGCAAATTCCATAAGCATGTAGGAAAAATCCAATGGCAATCCCATGTTTAGTGCATTTGTCATGGTAGGAAAAGAAATAAATAAGGTCATCCTCATTCAGGATTTTTCTGCAGACTTGAAATTTCAGGTAATGTTTCATTCATTTCATAGAAAGAAAAAGGGATCAAATCTTCCCATTCATTCTCCACAGAATTGGGCTGAGGGCTCTACAAAATTTAGTCGAGTTTAGAGGTGTTCCAAACAGCATGATAGGGAATCCGCTGCACAAGCCTGCTAAGCAAATCCAACTATACCTTTGAAGAACTTTGAGAGTTTGACTACTCTCGGAGCTCGGCCATGGACCAGGCTCGTCTGGTGCTTTCCTGGTCAACCAGGCTGTTGCTGCTGGAGGCCTGCTGCTCCACATATACATCCAACTACCTCTAGTATATAACTGTCCATTTTCTGCTTATGCTTCAGATTCATCAAGACTGAGGTACTGAACACCAGCGACCAAACTGAGAGGCTGATTTCTTCATCTACTGCTTTCAATGTATAGTTCTGCAAGGCTGAGGGACTGATTACTTTGTCTTCTATTGTCACTAAATATATCTGTATTGAACTTATAAAGTCACTGGTTGGCAAGACACCTTCAAATAAAAATACTCAGGTGTTGTACATGTATCTCAAATATTATCTGAACTAGTTTCTTTAACGATAAGAAAATTCATCAAGTAATGCTCATAGAGCCTACTTGCATTTGAAGTTTAACTGGAATGGCTGTTTCTAATTTGCTTTTCCATGGGCAGATTTCTCTCACCTTTCAATTTTTTAACAATATCACTCTGGCATTCATCACCTAACCCTGCCTACCTTCAACTCACCTTTCTTTTGTATTTATAGTTATGTCACGTTGCCATGCACTGGTTTTAAAAAGCCTTCTATGGGCAAAACACTGTCTTTAAAATACAGAGTGTGTCTACAAATGGTACTATTACCATACTTGTCAGCAATCTTGCTGTTCTATAACTGTATAAGTGACCACAATTTAAGGGACATGTGATGAAAGATGGAGTTAGCTTAGCTTCTCCTTCCCTTTGAGATGTAAGTTGATACTTTTATCACTTCCAAACATTTTAAAAAATGTTTGATAATTAAATGAGTGGGAATAGTTGGGTGAGAGTAGACCCTGCATAACATAAGCCAATGAATGTACTGTAGTGCCTATCTATTCTTTAGTCTTATATTTGTATATACAAAGGTACTAGCGTGATAATAGAGTTATATGTGAATGGGGATATCTGCCTGAGAGTAAGCCCTAATTAGCATGGAAAATGAGGAGCACTGCAGTAGGCAGTGCTCCTCATTTTCCATGTGTGTAGTGATGATTTGGTAACAGAATTAAGACAGGAAATGGTTGGTTGAGAGTTTGACCTGCCTAGGATTAGCCAGTAGACCAACTGTAGTGCTTCTCTGTGTACAATTGTATACATTACAGTTGTATGCAAATGGGAATGCCTGGATGAGAGTAAGATTTCATTAGCAGGGCTAGTAGTCCTACTACAGTTCTGCTGTCCGTTCTTATGTAGGAAAGCAATTGTTTGGCAATATGGTGGTATGTGAGTTAGAATGATGAGAACATGACCTGCCAAGCATTGGCCAGTAGACCTACTGTGGTGCTCCAAGCATATGTAGAAAATCAGTGACTTGGCAACAAGAGTTGTACTGTATATGAGTGGGTATAGTTGTTTAGCATGAACCTTGCAGCAGTGCTCCTTTTTTCTTATGTAGAAATATAATTGTGTGGCAGTTTAGGTACATGAGTGGGAATGATTAAATAAGAGCAGGACCTACTTAGCATGGGCCAGTAGCCCTACTACAGTACTTTTGTAAATATAAATGACACATATTTGGTAATATAGTTGTACAATATACAAGTGAGAATAGCTGGAAAGAATAGGATCTGTTTAATACTGGCCAGTAGGCTTATTGCAGTGCTCCTCTGTTCTTATAAAATTGAGACTATTATTTTTGCATGGAGCAGCCTAAACTGCTCCTTTGACTTGAATATAATGACTCCATAGCTTTACCTTTACCTTTGATGAGTTTCAAGAGTCTTTCTACTCCCGGAGCCCGGCCGTGGACCAGACTCGTAACATCAGCTCTCTAATAGACTAAGTTTTCACTTCATTTTCTTCTTTTCCTAATTTTTACGGGTTTGGGTAAACTTAATAAGAGAACATATTAAACTTAGAGACTAGGTAAGCTAGGGTACGTTAATACATGACATATATGAAAAGTAAGAATCTTATGGCAGATAAGTTTGGAGTCAATTTATAAATGAAAAAAGGCTAAACTCGAGTATCAGTGGTAATACAGTAAAGGGCAATTTTTTCCTTTTGTCTTATAGTTTTAAATTTATGAACACTATTAAATAATGATTAATTTTAAGAATTTTAATTCATTCTGAATTTCGCTTGCCAGCAACAATTTCAAATTTTCTTGTATGTAAAATATGCCTATGGAATAAACTGAAATGATCAAATTAAGCAAGAAGCAACAGAGAAGTGATGGCCTCTTATATATATCGAACTTTAAAAAAAACTGAGAAAGGGGCAGAAAGAGAACAATAATATACGGAGGAGTGGTATGGCACACTGGTGCAGTCAGTCAATAAGACCACAGATTGTAGATCAATGGTTCAGAGATAAAAGACCACAGATAAAATTTCCGAAGCGGTTAATGAGTGATCAAAGCTCATTTTATAATTAACTAAATATACATATAAAACATTAGGTACATTTTAAAGTGTCATAATACTGGTGCAATGACTGAACTCTTATTTTTCTTAAGAGTACAGTAATTTAGTAATAAGAGCCAAAGTTAAATGTTCTGTGTCATTTGTTAAGGATTGTTATGGAATGCTGTATTGTGCTGTTAGGTGCTTGTTCCTGGAAAATTTTTATCTACACAACCAATGCTTGATCTACTCAGTTCCTGTTTTGTGTATACAATAGCAAAGTTGTGCTTGCAGGGAATGTCTCAGCTCCTGGGTCTCCTATGTATGTGGATATATATTTGGCCAAGTCGCACTCACTGAGTTGTGTCTGCGCATACGTGAGATTACCTATTATTAGTTAGGGGGATTATGTGACTGTGATATATCAGAAATGTTTGGTAATTTATTTGGGATGCGTTTTAATTAATATTTCCGTGCAAACAAATACCAGCTTGTACAATTCATATTATTCTTAAATAAAATTGCAACATATTATATCTACTGGTGCAGTAATATGACCAAATCCTTAATTCTAAATCGATGTAATTCTTCCTCCAGAGTAAATTAGATTCTGATATACTTGCATATTATAATAAAAGAGTACTACAGTTTTGCAGTGATGCAAGGTATTAAATCATAATGAATTTAAACATACTGTGTATTATAAACACAATTTTTATTTAACCTCACATATTTTAGTGGACAAGTATAATGCTTCCATCCACTCATCTAATAACACTCAATTTTTTTCAACAAAATCATACCATGTGCATCCTCTATCCTCTTTTTATGTCCCTTGTTAAGTATCAAAGGAAGTGAGGATTTGCACATGACTGTCTTGGACCGCGACTGATAGGTTCCCAGCACCACACTGCTGGATATAATCACAGAAATCTCACAAGAGTTCCCATCTCATATCTTCTGTAATCCCCGTCTGATAACTAACACAGATCATTAATTTATAAATAATTTTAGAGCATTTTCATAGCCCAATCCATGTTCAGTCAAAACGTAGATTTTTAACAAAGAGTTTTTGTGGCGAAAATGTCATTGCTCAGTTTCTTACCACTCGTATACACTTATGATTTAAATTCTGCACTTAAAGTAATATCATACACACTACAATACAACAAAAAAATTATTTTCGTATAACTGTTCACACTAAAACTAGGCATTCATGAAGACAGTACCGGTAAGTAAATGTGAACATATATAGTATAGATATATAATTCTGGTCGTATACTTTTTTAGCGTAATCAACTTTCAAAGTGGGTTCGTATACAATTGTCCTTGGTTACGTGAGGTATTTCAATGTAAATCAAATAAAAATAAAATTTAGTTTTACAATTATGGATACGTTTTGCTAATCTTGGAAATGGTGAGTTAGCGCTAGGGTAATTTTGATTACGATATAATAAAAAGGGGACATCAGGCAGCAAGAAACAGGTACGTATATATGGCATTAAACTTGCATCTTGGTCTATTCATATCAGAATTGGAACAGTGCATATATGGAGTAACAACAAATAAAAATCAACTGATATCTGAACTACCTGTTATGCCCTAAATTATTTTTACTATATTTAAGGGGAAGCACTAAGCCCAAAGGGTTCATACAGCACCTAGAAAATGGAAGGAAACTAGATTTGATCTCAAGGGAAGAGTGGCTCCAATTCCCTAGATCAAGAGCCCTTCACTAGCATCAAACCACCTCCCATGAAGTGCGATGTCTCGGAAACACATCATAGTTGATCATCAAATCAATGCAGAATTTTCCATAGCTCCAGCTGTATTCTTTTTAATGGGGGTGTCGTGATACTGGTGAGAAGGTTCTTGATCCAAGGAATAGGAGCTACCCCCTCTTTGCATCACATCTTATTACCTTCCGTTCCTCAGGGGCTGTACGACTCTTGTGGATTTTTGCACTTTCCCACGAATATAATAATTCAGCTGATCGTCACCCTCGTGTACCCAGAGTTCTCTGCTGTCTGTCTGCAGAAATCACTCACCCAAGAATACATAGACACTCCTGCTTAGATTTACTAAATAAATACCTTTAAGTTATTATAATTTATTTTGTATGTAGAGGACATTTCGTAATAAATTATTCAACATACAGCATTATATATTATGTAAGTTTTTTTTTATTTCCAAGAGATGAATTGAGTATTTTTGGGCATTCACACTGTAGTAGGTTGCTTACAAAATTCTTCTTTTTATTCACAACTTTCAACTACTACAGCATGAGCTGTTGAAAGGCAGGAATACCCTGAGCAAAGTCGAGCATATAGAGCACATCCACTGCCACTGAAGCTCTAGCCTGTGCCCTTCAAGGTGGGTGCCTTAATGCTGGTGAAAGGTTCCTGATCCAAGGGAATTAGAGTTGCCCTCCTCTACCTTGGATCAAACCTGACTGCTTCCCATTCCCCAAGTGCTGTATGACCACAAAGGGTTTAGTCCTTCCCCATGAATATAATAGTAATAGTCTATGGCGCAGGATACATTCATAATAGACAAGTACCAGGTAGGCATATTTGGAATGAAGGAACTAAGGTGTTTCCAAATTGTGAGGGCTACATAAAAGCAGTCTTTCCTGGTTTATAAATTTCTTTTTATAATAGGCAGATTAATAAATAACACCCTACAATTTGGAAACCACTGCGGAGCGGGGAGAAGATCACAACCCTAACAGGAAGTCTGTCTCTTTTCCAGGTCCATTCTAATGTTGGACCCATTGCCAAGACTTTGTCTGGTTGCTGAGACAACTCCAGATAACCTGAGTGTAAACAGTGGATCAACTTAGAGAACTGGATCAACTAAACTGTGACACAGTTCAGTAAGGTAAAACCACCAACTACCTTAACCTGACTTACGTCAAGGTCACTTGGACCTGATTTGGAAGTGAACAGGATAAGCCAAGTTTTATCCTGTTTTATTTCATTAAGCACGTTCCTCTATTTCTGGTCTCTTTGATAACATGGAGTCTGTATCCGTAAGGTCAAGCGGTGTCGCCGAGGTTTCCCCTCCACTTCCATTTTCATACATTTTGCGACCAACAAGTGAGAAAGAACCTACAGCTGGGGTTGAAGCTGAAGACTCTTCCTCATCATCTACTGTGTGAGCTCCAGATGTTGAGTGATCTTCTTCATCACTTGGAAGATTTTTACTTAACCTCTTCTCATGGTCTTGGTTAGGATCTCTGTCCTGCGAGGAGGTCTCTGTTGCTTCCTGTGGGGCATGGGGATCCGCTACTCCTCCATCAAGATCAGTGCTAGACGGTGAAGGTTTCTTGTTTGGTAGACGGCGGGGTAAAGTACTGATACCCATCTTTTTTATTTTGTCATAAAGTGTACGAGATGGGACCTTGTACTTCCGTGATGCCTGGAAATGTTAGAGGAATTAGATTCCATTAAAATATTTTTTTACTCTTTCAACACATGTTGATCTATTTCTATATTTTAAGGAGACAAGCTAATTGTATATATACTGTACAGGCACTCCTTTAGAGCACCTGCACAGAGCATATACTCTAAAGAAGGGGTGAGGAAGTTGCAATTCAGTGGGTCAACTGAGTTATGATGTCATCATGCTTCTGGCAAGACAATGAATCAATGATGGTGAATATATTTCCTCAATTTTTGGGGTTATCCTACCTCAATAACTGTTTACAAAATGGTGGGATTACTGGTGTCTTTCTCTATGTCTCATAAACATGCAAGATGAAAAGTACACATCATGCTTCTTCAACTTACATTTAGTTCATACTACACACCCATCTGAGTTTTTTTCCATTTTCTTAATAGTTCTTATATTATTTCCTTTAATCACCATGGGGAAGTGGAGATGAATGCTTAGTCCATAAGCCATGTGTATCATAAAGGGCAACAAAAATGCCAGGAACAAGGGTCTAGTAACTTCTTGTATAAATTACTAACTTCAAAAAGAACATTTTAAACATAGCAGTGTGCAGGAGGCTGGAGGCCAATGTGCTAAAAAAACAAAAAATTAGGTGAGTACACACACTCATGCATGTACATTAATTAATGAATTTCCTATTTTGTCAATTATCAGTGAAACTATTGCCTAATCCCACACTTTTCTTATTTTCGGCTCCCTGCCTTTGCTTCCTTCTATACTATTTATCGTTTTACTTTTTACAGTTTATTTAAGGTTGAGAGTTCTTGTATATTATGATTTTTTACTTCATCAACCATCTAAGGTAGGACGACCCATAAAATCAAATGTTTACCCTCATGAGCTGCTTAGCCAGAAATACAAAGATACCACACTTCAGATGACTCTCCAGACTGTAACATCCCCATCCACTGTACTTTCTGCCTCCAGGACTCACGGCTCAGCTAACCAGTTACTCTGAATCCTTCATTAATGTTGCTTTGCTGACATTCCAATGGCACATTAAAGCCATAAATCCACTTGTTTTCCCTTGCCCTTATCTAACATGGTAATAGCTGCCTGCTGCAAGCTCAAGTCACTACCACTTAAAACTGTTCGTGCCCACCTTCCAAACTTCCCTGGGACAACCCCACCACTCTGTCCTTTAACCAAGAATTTAAGCATTATCTTGGTCATCTTATTCTGCTTCATTCTCCCTAAATGCCCAGACCACCTCAACAACCCCCTCCTCCTCGTCTGTCCTCTGAATTGATTGATGTAAGGTTCGCCGGTACTTCCAGCCCGCGTCTTTTCCAGATGGCGACCCAGTGATAGTATCCTCTGAATACATTTCATAATTCCACAGTTCTCTAATTTCTATGCCCCTAATTTTTTGCATAATTTTACAAACTAAAATTATTGTTTCCTGTTCAGCATGACTGCATCTCTCACACGTCTCCCCTATGTTGTTAAGTTGTACTCTGCCTTCTAACACTTTATGACCATGCAGGTTTAGCATACTTTTGTAAACATAATGGCATTACAACTTTGTAAAAAACTGAAGCATAAAACTTGTATGGGTCACACAGCTTACAAACAGAGATGTTCTCCCTAGTCAACACATTTCCAAACATGGCCCTACAATACTGTACGTAGACTGAGATTTTATTAAAAAACATACATGTAGGGCAGCTTGCAGGGTAAAGCTGGAGCCCTCCATCTGCCACAGCCTTATTTAGTTACTTTTATTTTTTTAATGTTTCCCACAAAACAAATTCCTAGCAGAATAACTCACCTGTAAAGCTGTCATGCCATTTTTCACTGCCTCAATTGCATCCATGAGATCTGCTTTGGTGTACTGTTTGTATCTCTTCCATTCAGGCTTCGGGGTTGGGACATAACTGACAAAGTTGCTGTAATGTGAAGACCCATTTGGGTCCACATGGTGGTAAGGGTTGAACTCCGGCAGCAGGGGTCCATTAGTAAACTGTTGGATATACATAATTATCCTGTATTATTCAAGAGTGTTAAAGCACCCATGTGCAATTTGTGCCATTTTGAAGTATATGAATGAATAAATGCACACACAATACATAATAATATAATATGACTGACTAGGGTGAATATGTTCTAGGAAAATTTTCTTGAGCTCCCTTCATAGATCTTTTGGACTGCTCTTCCTGGAAACCGTACTTTTGAAATGGTTTAATATAAATATATAAAATTATGAGGATGGTTCAACATAGGTACGAATCATTAACAATGTTAGACACAGGTGGGTTTACTGAAACTGTCTTGCAAAGCTGTTATATGAACTTCATAAGTTTGACAAATCGCGAAAAACCTGTGGGTGGTTTAAGAATTTTGCAAACCAGTATGCTCATTTTGACAAGCCAAGAGAAATGCTTTTTAAACACCATCGTTTAAGCAGTAATCATTTGCTGAACTGATGACAAGCCTATCTCATTGTTCCCACAGTTCATCCATTGAGAGAAACATAATCGAATCTTCCATTTTAAAACATGTCTGTCATACCCTGTATAAAGTAGTCAAGGACTATACAAATTAGATACATATTTAGTAGTTAATTGTTCAGAATCTTCAAGAAGGTGTCATTCGAGATTCCCTAACTGCTCACTGTGCAGTGTTGCACCCTAATAGGGGTTTGTTTCTGAACAGATCATTGTCAGATTTTTTTGTCCACTGGCCTGAGAACCTTTCGTTCTTTGTTCAAACCCAGCTCCCATCACTCCAAAATAGTAGCCTCCATGAGCTACCTACACCCTAAGTTCACATAACCTGGGAAACTGATGTGTTAGGGTACCCTATGTTTCCTCATCCTCTGCCTTTCTCATGTTCCATAAATTTTCATTAGCTAGAGTACCATACCATTTACAGTAGGTTATAACAACTCTGTTATTACAATTCATTTTAACAGTCTGATGGCTGTGTTCCATCATGATTTGCTAGGCACCAGAGTATCATACATGAATGTAACTATTATGTATGAATTCTCTCTGGTCAGATTAGTACAACAACCATGGCTTATTTCATTACTGTATATATATGATATACAAACTCAATTCCAGATTACAGGATCCAGCTATAAATCTTGTCTTGGTTTTATACATAAATACATTATGATATGCATATATCTATACTAGTTACAGCATGTTTATTCCTATGTTAGGCCATTTATTGGGTTGAGGAATGAATTCCATTTTCAAAAGGTTAAATACTGAGTGTATATAAGTGAGTACACACACACAGAGGCCTGTGTGTGTGTGTACTGTGCAGTTTGTGGTTACAAACCTGGTCTGACAAATGGCTCCCGAAGTTTAACCACACCAGGTTGAAAGTTATGAAGCTTGGGAAAGGACAAAGAAGACTGCAGATGGAGTACAGGCTTGGGGGACAATGACTACAAGCCTCACTCAAAGAGAAGGACCTTGGAATTAGTATCATTCTGAGCATATCACTTTAGGTACATCTCAACCAAATAACTGCTGCAGCAAATGCACATCTAACAATTCTAAGAATAACTTTTCGACATTAAAGGAGTTTTCGACATTAAAGGAGTCATTCACGACACTGTGTACATCAGGCTCATACTGGAGTATGTAGCACCAGTATGGAATCCACAAATGGTCAAGTCAAGTAGGTCAAGCATGTCAAATAACTGGAGGAAATGCACAGGTTTGCAACAAGATTAGTCCCGGAGTTAAAGAGTATGTCCTATGAGGAGAGGTCTAGGAAACTCAATCTGATGACACTGAAGGACGGGAGGGTTAGGGGTGATGTGATAATGTATAAAATAGTGAGAGGAACCGACAAGGTGAATAGGAACAAAATGTTTGAGAGGGCGAGTCATAGGGATATTGGGAAGTATTTCTTCAGCCTCACGAGTTGTCAGGAAGTGGAACAACCTGAAAAGTGAAGTGGTAGAGGGGCAGGATCTATACATAGCTTTAATTAAGAAGCGCAATAAGTCTTTTGAAGCCAGGAAAGAGTAGACATAGTAGCGACCAGTGAAGAGACGGGGCCAGGAGCTGTGATGCGACCCCTGTAATCAAATATAGATTAGGCGAGTACGGACATACTCTCTTTGGGAAGCCTTGAATTAGTTCATGGCCTCAAAGTGTCAAAGTAATGAGTCGTTGTGTGTACTTACAGACTCCAGCTTGATCTTGTCCTGGTCGTCCTCTCGTGATATGTCTGAGAATGATCGCGACTCATCGTCGTGCAGCTCCTTCTTGGTGCTGATGCCATACTGAGCCTGAAATAAGATAAGATAAGATAAGATTTCGTTCGGATTTTTAACCATGGAGGGTTAGCCACCCAGGATAACCCTAGAAAGTCAGTGCGTCATCAAGGACTGTCTAACTTATTTCCAGTGTGGTCCTCAATCTTGTCCCCCAGGATGCCACCCACACCAGTTGACTAACACCCAGGTACCTATTTGCTAGTAGGTGAACAGGGCAAACAGGTGTAAAGAAACTCGCTGAAATGTTTCCACCCGCCGGGAATCGAACCCAGGCCCTCCGTGTGTGAAGCGGGAGCTTTAGCCACCAGGCCACCGGGCCACCGTAACACTTACATCACTACACAACGCATTTGTTTCAACCAATGAAATCAGTGTAAAGACACTTTACAGGACAGACGGCAACGTTTCGCTCACTTAAGATCCTAATCAATAACAAAAAAGGCACAATACGGTGACTGGAACTGGCTCCTCCTCCTCCTTACTTCCCCACTACTATTTCCACCTCCACTACTACTACTACTACTACTTCCTACTACTTCCTACCCTTCTCGTGTGTGTGTCTTTGTAAATGGTCCAAGTCGGACCGAAACGTCGTTGTAAGCTCCTCTCTTCTGTGTGTGGGTTATTTGTGTATCCTAATCAAGTTGTCCCGCTCTTAGCCTGTTCCACCAGCTGCCTCTCTCTCTCTCCTTCAATATTTGTCACCACCGGGCTGTGGTTCGTACGTTGGACTGCATGCGGCCAGCAATAACAGCCTGGTTGATCAGGCCCTGATCCACCGGGAGGCCTGGTCGTGGACCGGGCCGCGGGGGCGTTGATCCCCGGAATAACCTCCAGGTAGACCAATCCATCTAGATCAAAGATTCACTATTATACAGTATATACCCACCACATTGGTGGTGTCTAAAAATATATATGCTATACCCTACACTGCTGTATTGGTATAACCAGGAAAATAAGTCATGTCTGACTTTTTTGGGGGGTTATTCTAGGTAATTTACACATATGTTACTATGTATAATAACTGTACTTACGTGTACCTGCCTGCGGTCTGCCGCAGGTAAAACACATTAATAGCATAACTACAACACTTGTTGTCTTATGTATAAAAATATGCATATCCATATATATATGGTTATGTGAGCCGCTAGGTACAAACAGCCTGGTTGACCAGGCAAGCAAGAAACAAGCCTGGCCCAGGGCCGGGCTGAGGGAGTAGGAAGACACTGGAAACTCGTCAAAGGTGAGGTTTATGTATCAATGGTTAATTAAAACTCGAAAAAGCCCTAGTGGGTGGAACCTTTGTACCGCCATGAACAGGTGATAGAATAAGGTAGAGTGAATTCTCGTATTCGTTTTAAAGAAAGACAAGAGGCCTGATCATGGACCAGGCCGCGGGGGCGTTGATCCCCGGAATAACCTCCAGGTACCTCCAGGTAACCAGGTAAGAGACTTGCTATTGTTTGGCTACGATAGAAGTAATAGTAGTCACTACTACAATTTTCATGTATGAGTGGAGAGTGGGTAGGTAAGGCTGCCTTCCTGAAGATGGCAGAGGGCGGCGGCTCTCTGACACAAGGTCAACATATTATATAGGCAAAAACGTATTTTTTTTCTTTTAAGTCATATAATTTTTTCCTCTGAGGCTTCTAGAGTCTTCCTTCTCCCTGGATATATATATATTTATATATAATATATATATATATATATATATATATATATATATATATATATATATAACAGCACTGCGACTAGCCAAGGACTCGAACCCATGATTGATGGACTTACCTCGATATGATCGCGATGGTCGTGTGAGAGGAGATGGGGCACGTGTGAGCTAAGGAGACCGGGCAAGGGCATCATGGAGGAGGCCAGAGATACCAGGGAACTCATGTCGGGTCCAGGGAACCCATGGGTGTGCCCCAGGGCCGTGCGTAGGATCGGCGTCGGCGATAGCATGGGGTCGGCCATCATGGAAAGGCGCTTACGTTTGTGTGGGGGTGAATCTGGGCACGGTTGGGAGAGGTGGGATACAGGGGGCGCTAGAGAGTGTGTCTGCCGGGGTTCAGAGTCCAGGCTTCCCGGTGTATGCACGTCTCGAGGCTCGTGGCTCTCCCTGTGATCTCGTAAGTGGTCTCGTAAATGTTCTCTTATATCACGGAGGTCGCGGCTCTCGCGGAGGTCTAGTTCGCGGATGTCTCTATGGTCTGGCCGGTGGTCTCTGTGGTCTGAGCGATGGTGTGAGCGATGTGGAGGCATTCCTGGCGGTGGTAGAGGGTACAGGGGAGGTGTAGGGGAAGATAGACGGACATGTTCGTGGGCAGAGATAGACGAAGGCGGCGCAGTAGAGGTGGGCGGCTCTGGTCTAGATCGCGGTAGATCCTGGTGGGCGCGGCTGTCCACAGGTGTAGTGGGTGGGCGGGTGGCTTCGTGTGGGGAGGGTGGTCTCCGAGAGGCCGCATCGTTGCCTAACTCCTCTACTAGGCCTTTGACCTTGAGGCTCTCAGCGACCCTCAGGAGGCTCTGCAGGTGGTCGTGCTCCACGTTGACCTCACCTCGGTACATGTACTCTAAAAGGGCGCGCATGTCGCACGCCCGCACGTCTTTCAGCACCACGATTGGATGGTTTGCGGCGCGGGCGTTGACGAAGAGCGCCTGGAAATATGAGGAACATGCGGCTAGAACCAGGCGATGGGCATGCAGGGTGACACCCTCTTCACAAGCCAGAGTTACGTCGGTGAAGGCCTCCACGTGTAGCAGCTGGTCGAAGGCCGCCAGCAGGTTATTGCGATGGTTGTTCCAGCGTAGGCAGTACTGTGAGCTGCTCCCCATCGTGCCGTACCCTCCCTGTGGAAAACAAAGAGGAAGATTCATTAGTACAAGGGCAGCTCAGCGACAGCAGGAGTCATATTCCATTGTTACCAACTCCGTCATGCTTCCGGTGTTGCAACGCGTGCCCTACCCCATCCCTCTTACCCCCCTGTCTA